CCCCAAAACCCCAAAACCCCAAAACCCCAAAACCCCGTAATAAGGCAGGGATGGTGAGGGTTTATATAATTATTAAGTAAATTTTGGGAGTGCAAATGAGCAAGGTTGTGCCAAAGGAAGGTCAAGGTAGGATGGATGGGGTGGGAATGGGACTGGGAGGGTATTACAATAGAAAGAACCTTTAGCCCTAGGAAGAGAACCCCAACATTTTACTAAGTCTTTGTGTCCATAGAAGGGGAAGAAGGCAAAAATCTTGGCTTAGAGGCAGGGGAATTTAGGGCTTGAGGCTTGATGAGGGAGAGAGTAGAGGAGGTTGGAGAATTTGGGGCTGGGTGGTTTGGAGGAGTTTTGATGGGTTTGGAAGGGTTTTGGGAGGTTTTGTTTTTTGGGGATTTTGGGGCTTAACCAGTCGGAATTTGGAGATATTGGAGTGTTTAGGGGTTTTATGATATATTGAGTATGAATTGAAGTGTTTTCTTTGAGCTTTTTAGGGTTTACTCCATATTTTCTTAGATTCATTTTTTTAGTTTTATTCTGATTTTCCATAACATTTCAAATTATTTGAATATTTTAGAAGAAGAAAAATTTAATCTTTCATGATCAAAATTCTAAAATTGATTGGTGTATATCTAATAACGCATTATCATTTAAATACTACCTCGAGATATTTTGGGTATACTATTCTCCTAATAATCCACTTAACAATCGATATACCAAACAAATTATAATCCAAGTCTCTTCTAAATTTCTGATCAGAACTCCTATTTCCCTCTCTTCCCAATACACTCAAACCATATTTCTCATTATATGCTCAACTACTAATAGATGATGACCCAAATAACCTGACTGGAGAAGTTATGCTGAACAAGGAATTACCCAGTGAAAGAGATTTACTCTGTAACGATACTCAATCCCCTGCAGAGGAGAATAAGGAACAGAGCCCAACACAGAAGATAAGAAGTGAAGAGTCAAAGGAAGAAGTAGAGTTTGAATATGATGAACAATATGATAATGATGAAGATAGATTTGAGTAAGGATTTTTAGGTTTTTGACTGAGTCATGAATTTTTCGTTCTTTTAAAGTGGGATTTTTCTTAATTGTGCTGATGTGATGTTTTATAGTTCTCCTGAAAATGAAGAAGCAAAAGAAGATATCAAAGATGAAAACTGGGAGACTACTCAAAATAAAGAAATGAGTGCTGAAGAGAGGAAGTAGGTATTTTAGAGCTTATTATGGGCATAGCTTTATTTTGAGTTTGGAACAGTTTGAATTTACTTTAAAATTTTATATAAAGTTGTTGCTTATCACAGTTCCCAATTTTTTGAATGAAAAATCGGTAGAATCATAGTTGTTGGAAGTGTTCTGGTTTTTAATGTTGGCAATTTTGCAATCATTTTATGTATGGAATATATCGAAAATTATGATGAAATTGTTGTTCTTCAAGATTTTTGAATAGAACTTAAAGCATACGAGTTATAGAGTATTTGATACTAGATCAAAGCGGCTTTAGAAAAATTGAATAAATGCTTAAATTTATCTACACATAAAGTTATGAGTATATTTATCAACAACTCACACAAAAATTAGCATTTAAAATAATAATTTCTAACAGTTAAAATACCTTTCTAACAAATCTTTTTAATTATTCTCAAACGGACACCAGAACCTCCCCCCCAACCCTTATCGCACTCAATCACAAACCTGACGCCCCTTCTATCCATCAAAACCATCTATCTCACTCTATAGGCTGCTTTTAGATGAAAACTGGGACAAGAAACAAGGTAATCACCAATATTTACTCTCTAACACAAGTTATTAACCTCATTGTTACAGAAGGAACTAAAGAAATGCAAAGAATCATGGACCAAGAGAGAGATCAAGCTCAACAGTTGAGTATCAGGGTTGGAGATGTTGTAGTCATGAAGACTTATGATAGAAATAGCCAGAAGGATAAATATTTGTTTGCCAGAGTGTAAGTGATGAGCTGGGTGTGGGTATTGTGGGGTTTGGTTTAAAGATCTTTAGGCATTTTGATGAGAAGCAGAATAGAGAAAGAGCATCGAATTTTAATATTGAGCCATTGCTGAATGAAACTTCTCGCTCTATTTCATATCTGTATGAAACCCAAGGGGATAGAGTTCCTAATTATTTATGGGAGGATGAAGATATGCAGAATTGGTATGAAATTGAAGTTGAAAATTCTGAAAATAATTTGACTTATTTGCAAGAATCACAAAGATATCCTCTAAATCTGAACCAGCCTTTTGCTATTAAAGGAGGAAGATATAACAGGAGAGAATTTATGTTTATGGCTGAGGGGATATTAAATGACGTTACCGTTAAAGAGTGGATGCTAGTTGCTGTCAATTCTAATAGCGAAGAAGTATCTGCAAAGCCTCAGACTCCTTACTATCTATCAACAATTATTAAAAATAAGTTTTACTATTTATCAGCTTCGGGGAATGATAACTTAAGTAAGAATCGGAGACTAATAAATAGCAACTCAGAAAGAAAAAGGGCTTATACTTGAATTAGGTAGACTCAATACATAATTTATAGATATTGTTGAAAAAGACAACAGATATAATTCGCATCAAGGTAATTCATTACTTTTGCTTAAGTCTAAAAAGTTTATATTACACATTTTACCACTATTTAAGTTACCATTTAAATTATTTGTCAAATATTAGAAAGTACCAGCTCTAGAGATTTTTACGATAAAATGCTTAATGTAATTCATAAATAATTGAGGTGCTGAACATTTTGATATAGCTGACAGGATTATTTCGAACAAAAATCTATATTGTATTTTTGATCATAATTCCCAGTGATTAAACATTAGTGAGTGCCATTTTAACCAAGACTTATTGCACTCAGACAGAGACAAAGGAATGGTAACCACAGATTATGCTGTCTTTACTGATATACCTCTTCAAAACTATTTTGAGGTTGAGTACTTTCCGAGTCAAGGCAAGCTGTGCTTGAAAACAAAGCTAGAATATAGGGATCCACTTTATTACAGGTTATTTCCTAAATATTTAGCATATGAGAATGAAAAATTGACTTTGGTGAACTACATCTATCTATTTGAACTAGAATTATTGGAGAAAAATGGCAGCCTCCTCACAAATGTTCCTTTCTGATTGAAAGTCTCTGGTACAGATAAATACATTCGGAGTATCAAATCCGATCAGAGAGGTATGAATGAGCTAATAATCACTCATTTTGATCATAAGAGTTCTGATGAGTTCTATTTTCACCTTCAGAGAATTCATCCAGAATTTGGTTTAACTTCTAATGATATCCAAGGAATTAATAGTAATTTTGATACTGTAAGGAATGGTTTGGAGGAGATTGAGAAAGAGGGTATGGAAGGCAAGGAAACCTATAGTTTGAGATATGCCTATGAAGAAGCTAAGAAGTATTTGCATAACTGTTTCTGGTACTTCAATGATAGACAACCTAATAAAAGCAAAGGAATTAATAGTGAAAAAATGGCACTTAATGGTACGTTGCATACTGTTTTGTATTTGCTAAATATAGCATGAAAATAATGGTGGATATAGGATATTTCAATAGAAATTTGGCAACTTACCTAACCAAAACATTTGACTTTGTGAAGTTTCTGAAAACATTGAAGGAGTTAAGAATGGAACTTATCGAAAGGAAAGATAATTTAGCTCATATCTGTAAGGTGAGTATTTATTCACTTATAAAACTTTGACTCCATTTAAGTAAATTTTATACTTTGAATTAAAAAATTTAAATTAAAAATTACATTAATATATTTCTCTACCAAATATACACATAAAATCAAATGCTAAAGTTACAACCCCCAAAATACATTCTTTAACTCACGAAAAATATTCACCCTCTTACAACATTAGCCCAACCAAAATCTACCCACCACATACATCAATCCCTAATTCCCCAACATCCCTACCAATAAAACCCTTCTCTATCCCTCTAACCTACCCTCATATAGTCCAAATTTCCATTTTCCATTCCTGATCCAAAACCCCTCCAACAAAACTCTACTCAAACCCACCGAAAACCCCACATCTTCAAAATCTCCTCCTCTAGCTTTCCAGTCACTTAGAGCCACCCACATTTAGTTTTATGAATTTAAAAATTTCGGATCTTCAAGAAGGAGTGAAGCAGAAAGTGGATTATTGAGAGTGGAGGAAGCTGATAATTTAGGAAGAAATAAAAGGGGCTGCAGAGGAGATGTCCAGAGTAGGGTGGATTGTGGGAAGAGAGGGGTGTTAGAAGTTGATCTGAGTTTGTTTAGGATTGGGAAGTAGTACTGAGTTTTATACGGCTATGTGTGAGTATATGGTTGCTATGGCTCATTCGAAGGGAGATTATGAGGCTTGTGCTTTGAAGTATGCAAAGAAGATAGTGGAAGAGCCGGAAGAGGGAGCTGAATTGCATAATGACTCGAGGTAATGAGATTAGATTTTATTGGGTTTGGGAAAGATCTGGTAACATCTTTTAGTTTCACTATGTTATGGGTTTTCATAATTTCTAGGAGAATAATGACCCTCAACAAGCTACTAAACACTGTCTCCAAAATCCCCACCCACCCAAACACCTCTGAACTAGACTGCCTCCTTCCATTCCTGAACTACGAGCTCACTAAAGAAGAAGATGACTACACACACATAAATTATAGTCTTTTGTTAGGGATGGTAGGGAATAAGTATAGAGATGAGAACTGATTTTGGACCTTTGGAGAGGTGAATGTTGAAGTTGTTAGATTTGTTTGTGGGCAAATGAAGAGCGAGGATTTTGTGGATTTTGATTTTGAAGCAGTGGTTAAGGAATGAAGAGAATATAAGAAGAGGAAGATAGAGGATTTTGCATTTGGAGTCAGGATGTTGTATGATGGAAGGAAGCAAGCGAGGATTATGTGGAAGACTCAGAATAAGTATCTAAAGGAGCTGGTTAAAGTGCTGATGTATAGCTATGGTGTGAAATTTGGGATTTGAGGTTCTGAGGAGTTTAAAAAGAAATGGAATTCATTTGTACTTCAGAATTGGTCTCTCACAGATGATTCTCCTCATCTTAGAGGGCTTCTTTTGAGATTATTTTGAAATTTAAATATTCTGAATCAGATTTCTGAGATTCCCTCTCATAATGACAATCAAAGCATAGAGAAAATTCTTGAACCAAGTTTCAAGATATTAAATTCATTCTCTGAATATACTTCTACAGAAAACTTATTCTTAATATGAGAAATACTAGCACTTGTAACTTGAGCTCTTCAAAGCCCAGATCATCGAGATTTCATCCTCTGTCAACTCGAAAGGCATGTTAGTCTTAAAACTCTGATTAACTTATTGAGTAATTGATCAGAAATGTTCATATTGGCGAAGCCTCATGCTTTTGATCCAACTGAGGACACTAAAATCTATAACGAAGATTTAATCAGGACAAATCAAGCAGCTGTTGATAATATATTACATGACGCTGATGCTATTATGGAATCATACCAAAGAGAAGCTATCACTCAAGTGTTTAAGATATTCAATCTAGTCTGGGAGATCAAAGCAGCTGAGAATAAAAAAGAGCAGTCGTTAACACACTTACCTTATACTCAAGAAATTATGAGACAGCTTGGATCAGAAGATAACTGAGATCTTGTAAATGCTCTTCAGAAGGTGGTAATAAAATGGGTGAATTTCCCTGACGAAAATACCACCTCTTGCGAAATCTTCACTTTCCTTCTCAACCTCTCATCCCCCCTCACCCCCCTCAAAACCCCATCCTCCTTATACCCAAACTCCCTCCCATTCTTCACCCACCTCAAGCCTAAATTCCACTCTCTCCTAACCCCTCTCCATCTACACCTCCAAAAACTCCAATCTTTCTTTGCTAATGCTGCAGATGCTAATAGAGAAGATCTAGATGATAACAAAGTTGAACTTGATGAAATTTTTAGTTTGGTTAACTTTTTGGTGAAGATAAATGCACTGATTGAATTTAACGGGGCAGATAGGACTTCTGTGCAACTTTGAAATAAGTTTGTGGTAGAATGTTATGAATGTCTCATTAAAGCAACTAATCACCCAAAAGTAGCTGAAGCAATTTGGAAATTTAATGGCCAATTTTTCATGATCTACTGGGAAAATAAACTATGTAATTCAAAACATGAAGAGGTATTCAAGCAAGTGCTTAAAAATTGTGGAATTTCAAAACTCAACTTAGACTCCTCTAATCTGTTACAAAATATTGCGTCTAAAATAGGACATTTGTTTAAAGACCAGTACCAACTTTTATACAAGAAACCTGACCCCAAGGCTACAAGGATATGAGGGTTTGAGAGGAATTGCCCTGGGAATAATCAGACGTTGCTTGAGTATCTCATCAAAATTATCAACGAGACTTCTAAAGAAGATTATGTTGAACAATTGAGAAAATCAAAATCCCCTTCTGATTCCTCCGATCACTTTGAATACCCCAGAAAATGGGATACTCAAAATAAGCCCAATTTGTTATTTATTGAAACAATCCTTCGCCAATTTCTTAACAGCAGTGAAGCAGGAGATTTGAAGAGTCTCAAGAGTTCAACCAGAAGGTTGCAGCTATTCATTCACAGACTCTTCCAAAATATTGAAACTATTGATCTAAACTTAGAGTCCCAGAATTACGTATTCTACAGTCTAGAAATGCTCTATAAAATTCTTGATGATCATGAAGTTATCGATCAGAGTGAGATAAAGTGCATGTTTTACACAAAGCATGCTACTAAAATGCTTTTCTCTCTAATCACGAAGCAATATAATTACACGGAATATGCTAGGAAAATTCGTCAGTTTGCTTATAAAATCCTTATCAAGCTCATCAAAGTTGATCTTAAGGCTTCAAGAAGAAGCTTTAGAGAGTTCACTCATATAAATGACTACAAAAATCAGCTATTTCAAAGGATTATTGACTTAATCACTCATTTTAGCACTTACTTTATTGAAGAAACTTGAAGCGTAGCTATAAGCCTCAATCTAGAGGAAACTGATTACAAGGAGCTTATATTAGCGTTGGAATGGCTGACGATGCTATGCCAAAATGATCAACATTGGATTAGCTATCTCAACAAGCAAGATAACTCATATAAGAATCAAAACATCATCCTTGATATCATTGAGATCCTGAGGACGGGTGTTCTAAGACTTAATCATGAATATGTTGTTGACCTTCTGAGAGCCACAGTCAGATTCATGACAGAAACTATCAATAGAAAAATTGAGTCTCATATTAACAAATTTGTAAATGGCCGAGTAATTGATTACTGATTTGGTATTCTAAAAGCTGGGTTTTCCTCACATGAAGTCGACTTCATCCAAAAAGTAGGTAAAGGCTCTAACCTCAATAAAATGACTGATGAACTTGGAGAGGATGAAAATAGAAGTATCACAACAATCAACAAACTAAACCTCCTGAAGCAAGAAGTCTTATGGCTAGTAAACAGTTTATTGATTCCAAGCACTCATCATCAAATTAAAAATCGTAAAAATCATGAAACGATTAATGACTTGTTGGTCTTGAACTATGTTCAGTTAAGAATTATGAAAAATGATCATTACACTGTAGATTTATTCAGTGAGAAATCCAAGATTTGTAAAGTTTATAACATCAATATCGGATTCCAATGTTATTATCTAATTACTAAACTTTGGAACAACAATAATCAGCCTAATTGCAACAAGGTGCAAGAGCTTGACACACAAGGCTTTTTCGGAAACTATTTGAAACTTCTTAAGGACATCAATTTTAAAATCTTTAGATTGTGAAAAGAATCTGAAGCTATTTCTCAGGCAGGGTATAAGCCCTTTGAGAAACAAGAAAATATTTTAGCAACTGCTACTACCTTCTTTGATGGCCATAGCTCTAGTATAGAGATGATCATGCCTGATGGACAATCAGCAACAAGACATTTTGAAATTTTGCCATGATTCTTATCTTTCACTCAGAAGGAGAAAGACATCTTCTGGCTTGAGGCTAATTTAGATAACAGCAAGACTGCTGTGAATTCCTTCGTAAAGTTTGCAGCAGACAAGATTGATGAACTCTTCATTCAACAAAAGGTGCATGACTTATGGTTCTGCTTAGGAGACACCTCTCAAAAACTGCTACAAGACTTAGTAATACTCCTCATATTGATATCAAATTCTATTTTGTTCTTCGCTCTTGAAAATAACGAAGGAAGGGCTCTAGAGAATCCTAGCTTGTTTGGAATGAGTTACAGAGGTACTAAACTTATTCTCTATATTTTAAGCTCTCTTCTCATTGCAGTCTTTGCATACATGACTGTGATCCAAGGTATTATTGTCATATTGCTACTCACTAAAAGGGCTCTCAATGATGAAAGCGATAACCAGAAATCAGCAATCTGGAAGTTCTTTAAGGTAGTCTGGTATATGCTGTCAAATAAGGAACAAACACTTCAGTCAAGAAGTATATGGTGCTTACTAATTTGTCAGGGATTCTCAATTGCAGGAGTTGCTTCTGATTTCTTCTGGCTGTGCTTTACTTTGGTATATTTATTACTATTTTCAGCCAAGGCTCTAGAAGTCACAGGGGCTGTCTGGGAACCGAAGTCTAGAATAATATCCACTATTATCTTAAGTGCTGTAATTTTGTATTGGTTCGCAATCATCGCTTATGTTTATTTTGGGAATGATTTCAATGGGGTTATTGATGGTGCGAATCTCACACTGAGAAGAAGCTTAGCAGTCATCTTTGATTCTTGGTATAAATATGGACTTGGAGCCTTTTTATCGGACAATGGAAGATCTGCTGTTTCCGAGGAAGAAGATGGTGATAATAAATATAAACTTAAAGGTCCAAGAATGGGATTTGATTTTGCATTTTTCTTTATTGTTCCAACCTTGCTTTTAAGCATTTTGAGTGGTATTATTATTGATAATTTTGGAGAAAGAAGGTCTAAAAGTGATTCTATCAATCAGAGGCAAAATGATCAATGCTTCGTTTGTGGTGAATTATCAAGTGATTTGGTAGATTTTGAAAAACATTGCAAATTTAAGCATAATATATGGGATTACATGTATTACATTGGATATGTGAGAGCAATGGAAGAAAATAAAAGAACAGATTACAAAGATATTTATGTCTACAACTGTCTGCAACAGAATAAGAATGATTGGTTCCCTGCTTATAAAGATTTTGTCATCAGTGAAGCTGAGAAGCAAAAACCCAGAGATATTCTTGGAAATATTATCCAAAATCTTTCAGATTCATCAGATCCTGATCAAACTACCTCCGAATCTTCTAAGCTAGGCCTGACAAAAAGAGATTCTACAGACATTACCACAAAACTTGCTGCCTTAAAATCTGAAATTTCATCAGAACTCCAACAGCAAAAGGCTGATTTCGATTCAAAGCTGGTGGACATGAACGCAACTCTCGAGAAAATTTTATCAAAGCTCCCACAGGGATAATTCTTCTTAGTATGTAATCAAAGTTCATGCATATAATAATGAAAAGATCTTTGCTTTAGGTAGAATAGCCTAAATTACTGAATATTGCCAAAGAGGACTGTCTCAAAGTATTACCATTATGCTTTCCTAATTTCTTCTACCTCCTAATAGTCTCAATAGACAACCTTTTTCCTTGTTTTGTTGATAGTTTAAGACAATTCTATGAAAGATTATTCTCACCATTGAAGTACTTGAAGGTAATGGTATCTCAAACAGGTTGGGTTTAGTATCATTTTCTTGGGTCCGAAGTGGATTGGATTTGTAAGTTATTGACCCAAAAGATTGTAAAATTAGAGACAGAGAGCATTTTGAGTAATGGAATTTATAAATTTGATCAGGATTATGGCAATATAGAATGTTAAATTTTCTACTTTACTGTCTTTGCAATTATAGAGCATATTTTGTATTTCTCAGCCTGACCTAAATAGTAAGCCAATCTCATCAATTTCTCTCTTTCATCAATTTTGATTAAAATAGAGCTTTGGGTACAGATTGAGTCTTAAGATATCTTAATAATTTTTGGATGTAAAATAAATTGCTTTTAATCCATTCTGTAACAATAGCTCTTTGGTATTTTCTGTATCGACTCATCAGTCTCTCAAAAATAACACCTACAGCATTATCTTGAATTCGGCTGAACCCCAAGACTTATTATAAAATTACAAACCCCTTCTCCAATAATTAATAAATAACCATTTATCATTATTAATGCTTCAAACAAGTCTATCTCCCCTGGGGTTTTGGGGTTTTGGGGTTTTGGGG